AGTCAGAGTCAGAGTCAGAGTCAGAGTCAGAGTCAGAGTCAGAGTCAGAGTCAGAGTTAGAGTCAGAGTCAGAGTCAGAGTGTGTTGTGTGTGTGTGTGTGTGTGTGTGAGAGAGAGAGAGAGAGGAGAGAGAGAGAGAGAGGAGAGAGAGAGAGAGAGAGAGAGAGAGAGAGAGAGAGAGGAAGAGAGAGAGAAGAAAGAGAGAGAGAAGGAGAGAGAGAGAGAGAGAGAAAGAGAGGAGAGAGAGAAAGAGAGAGAGAGAGAGAGAGATGAGAGAGAGAGAGAAGAGAGAGAGAGAAGAGAGAGAGAAGAGAGAGGAGAGGAAAGAGAGAGAAAGAGAGAGAAAGAGAGAGAAAGAAGAGAGAAGAGAGAGAGAGAGAGAGAGAGGAGAGAGAGAGAGAGAGAGAGAGAGAGAAGGAGAAGAGAGAGAGAGAGAGAGAGAGAGAGAGAGAGAGAGAGAGAGAGAGAAAGAGGAGAGAGAGAGAGAGAAAGAAGAGAGAGGAGGGATGAGTGAGGAGTGAAAAAAACGAGAAATAAGAGGAAAATATATAGGTACATTGACAGAGAGTTAGAAAGAATGTGTGAAAGAAAGCGAGAGTGAATGATGATGCGTGATGATGATGTAATAAGAATAGTAATCATAATGATAACAATAATGATAATAACAATAAAAGTAATAATGATAATGATAACTAACGATCATAATGATAATAATGATAGTAATGATAATAATGATAATAATAATGATAATTAGTAATGATAGTAAATGATAATAGTAATAATAATGACTGTGATAATAATAATAATAATAATAATAATAATAATAATGATAATAATAGTAAGTAGTAGTAGTAGTAGTAGTAGTAGTAGTAGTAGTAGTAGTAGTAGTAGTAGTAGTAGTAGTAATAATAATAATAATAATAATAATAATAATAATAGTGATGATGGTGGTGATAATAATAATAATAATAACAATAATTACCTATGATGATGATGAGGAGGAGGAGGATTATAATTAGGACAATAGTGATAATGATAAAGATATAATAAAACCAATGTTATTGATAATAGGGATAGCAATGGCAATGATAATACTGATGCAAATAACAATGATAATGATAAAAGTGATAATGATAATGATAATGGTTATAACAATGATGATGATAGTGGTAATGATAATGATTACAAAATGATAATTTTGTTTAGTGATAAAGATGATAGTGAGACTAATACTATTAATTCAAATTCCACTACTACTAATGATAACATCCGTGATAATGGTAAAAACAATAATGATGACATTAATGATGAAATAACAGTGGTGATTATCATTATCATGCTACGTGAAAGAACAAAAAAAAAAAAAAAAAAAAAAACAGTCAAAGGGTGCTGACTAGGAACACTACAAGTGTGAGTGGCCTTACACACCAGGCGCACAGGTATGTACAGTACATGTGGTGTGCGCTGTTACCAACATAATATCGTCTTTATTTCAACATGATCTAAGGGTGAGCAGTGGCTATTTACAGTGTATCTATTTATATCGAAAATCCTTGAACAAAAAGGCTTATGTATAATAAAAACTGGTTTGACAGGCTTTGGTAGCGGTACTTTCAGTATATGGAAATTCGTCCTTGAGAAGACAGAGACGCTCAGACAGGTGTCCTACCCACAGCCACTTAATACATAGGCAACGCACGGCGCGGACACGCTCTCTCCTTTTCTTTAAAGGGTATGAACTATATTTATTGTTATTGAAGGGTTTGTCTTTTTGGATGTTAGTTGACACGTGATAAATAGTTGTTTGGGTGGAATTGATCGCAAAAAAAAGAAGCAAAAAGGGGAGAAATGGAGCTTCTAAATCATATTTTCTAACTTTCAGGACATTGCGAAAACCTTAGGTGAAAGCAGGAAAGATTTTGGGAAAATTCGTTTCACTTTAACCTTGAGTTTAACGAACTTCTAGAACGTGCGATAAACATCCACTTTATTTCATAATACCATTCCCTCCGAAAATAAAAGCCCAGTTCACATAATCCACGTCATCAATTCCTAGTCAATTATAAATTAATATTGCCTACCTTGCCTATAGTGTACCTGTCCCGACCTATTGCAAGTGTCCCGACTCAGTGAAATTACTGTGACCCTAAGTCCCTCTGTAGATATGAAAGAAAAAGAAATAGAGAGGAAAAAGAAGTCGGACAAAGAAAAGGAGGAACAAGAGAGAAGTAAGAAGGAAAAAGAAGAGGAAGAAGGAAAAGAAGAAGAAGAAGTATTACTAGGCCCCCTTGGAACCTCCGATCGGGGAGGACCCGGGTCGCCTGCAGTCGCGAGCAGACGACGCGCGAGCAGACGACCTCGCTGGCCCACCATGGCGACGCTGTTGGTGTGCCGTGTGAATGTTATCTCGGCTCTCAAGACCTTCTGCAGGACCTACGGCACTTCTGCGGTGAGTTAAGGAGAGCTTTGGGGGTCAGGGCTTTACGTCTTTAAGAAATTTTGAGAATAGTGTTCAAATAGTAATTATTTGGGGGTATTTGTGATAGGGAAGCAGGTCAGGTTTTCTGTCGATGGCTGCTACTTCCTGTTGCGGGGAAAAAAATAAAGGTTGCTTTTGTTAGAATGAAGCTACTCTGTGAGCAATGACCTTCGCAGTAACTTTCATTTTGCAACAAAGACGTTGATGCATTGGTGAAACAATCTACAGGAACTTAGTACTAAGAAACTTCTAGAAGATTAGCAACCAGAAAATGCTTACTTTTGTTTTGATTTTAGGGGTAACCTTAATAATATGGGTAACCTTGACATAGGGACTCCACAGAGATATTGAAAAACGAAGGTAATGCCCACCATGAAATAAAGCATTAATGATAGGTTGAAAATAGAGTGATGATTAATCTACACTCACATAGGAAGGATATGTTTGCGACCACCTTTGTACCTTCATTACAAATGGCAAAAGGACAACACTCTTCCACAGTGTATATTCTTGCCATAAATGGCTAGTAGAACACTCTGGTGGTTTGCCGTCAAATAATAATCTGGTCCATGTTTTATGCTTGTATTGCAATGATATATAGGTTGGGCTTTACCAAAATACTGAAAGGGCAGACCACGGCAATTACCCAACATACAGTGGAAGAATTTCAAGGTTTAAGCATTGCCATTGTATGACCTAGTGTTTAAAGTCAAATCTTCTTGACTATAAGAATAATATTTGTTATATATCCAAAAAAGTGCTGTGTGTGCGCAGTAGACAGTTAATATGATTAAATATAGCCAAATGTAGAGATTTGCATCTAGCAGTATAACCCAGCCTTTGGCAACTAAACGGCACGTGCAAGTTTTTACGAGATACAAGTTAAGACCAGTTCAAAATTTGTTTATAGATTGCCAAGGAGGCATTTGCTTAAGGGCCTCAGAGACTTAGAGGCTGCACCAATCAATGTGAGGCCTGTGAAAAATTTGGAGTAACCAATTTGTCATGTTTGCCATTCTGTATTTAAGCTCATTAATTAGATATTGATCATGAGACAAAGGAAAGGTTAAATTATAATTATAATTGTTTTTTACCTAGTTAAATAAATTATTATGTTCAAGTGCATTTTTCAGTCAGAAAAAAAAAAAAAAAATAGTGTAAAGGAGTGGCAGAACTAAAAATGATTAGATTATGCTTTGCAAATAGGTATATTCTCATCAGTGCAAAACTGGGGATGAGGTAGTATGTGAAATGGAGCATTATGACTATAAGAATGGATTAACTATAGTATTTTCAGCCACCGAGACTCCTCATCTGACAAATCCTATATAGAGAAATGGTCATTGTGTATTTATATATATATATAATATATATATATTTATTTATATATATATAAAGATTATATATATAATATATATATAATATATTAATATAATATATATAATATATATATATATATTTTTTTTTGATGATGCTTCATTTATTATACATTTGTTGTCATTACTATTTTTTGGTTCATTGTTTCTCAAAAGTGGTAAACAAAATCACTGTTGAATTTATGTATATGCCCTTGTATAGTGCCTCACAAAAAAAGTGTGGCAGATTTTCTTCAAAGGTCATACTTAACCATGGAGATGATATATGACCTTGTGGAGAGGCCTTCAGCGAGGTAGTCAAGAGCTAAGGCTTGAGTAGTAAGGTGAAGTAAACCCAAGTGCAGAAATGCAGCTGTCGGCCAATCAGTGCATCACAACTGCGGACAACGCTGCAGTGTTACTGCACCCTATTTGTATATATATCGCATTTTTTTGATGGAAATGGACAGACTTCTCTGCACTTGGGTTTACTTCACCTTACTACTCAAGCCTTAGCTCATGACTGCCTCGCTGATGAAGGCCTTGCCACAATCACCTCGGCACCGGCGCTGCCTCTCTCTGTGTAATTGCCTCAGTTGACACTGGTGCAGCCTCACTCGGTGTAGTTCTCTCACCTCACTCGGCATAATTGCCGAGTCAGCTGGCAGTCAAGCATGGCAAGGTCTGCATCGCGGCGAATCAGCGCCGCGGACCTCGCCATGCTTGCCTGCCGACTGACTAGGCGTAAGGGCAATTATGCCATGTAAGGGCAAGTATGCTGAGTGAGGTGTGCCAGTGCCGAGTGAGGTGAGGGAACTACACTGAGGCTGCGCTGGTGTCAACTGAGGCAATTACGCATAGAGAGGCAGCGCCGGTGCCGAGGTGATTGTGGCCTCTGCCACAACCTATGACTAGATTCTTAATTCTTTAAAGATTCTCTGAACAAAAGACCTGTGAGTTGCCCCAGAATGAGCATTTTTGTTTTCAGCAGCTTCTGGGGAATATCTAGGTTTCATGTTCATTTCAGGCATAAAAGGCCTGGACCAGTGTTGTTTGTGCCATCTGGTTTATGAATATATATTCAGAGCACATGCTTTATTATACAAGGAGGAGGCATATCCCTCATCAAGGAATGTGCCAGTCATGGTATGAGGTTTTGCAGAGAGGTTCTTCTCTGAACTTCACAGAGGATTACTTCCCTTGATAGTATCTAGCCATATGAGGAAAGCAATAAAGCACTGATGCAAGTCTTGCACAAACCCTTCAGTGTAGTGGTTCTTAACCTTTTTGGTCTGCAATCCAAAATCCTGTCCATATTGACCATGGTGACCGATATACCTTCTTAAAGACGAGTAGATGTAGCTTTTTTTTTGTCAATTAAATTATCTATGTCTCTATGATTTGCTTAGCATTGGTTGTTAAGGATTTCGTTTTCTTTACACTGGATTAACACTTTGATAATACTTCAAATAGGTATATTTGGGAAAAAACTATGCACATATCCTTGGTGTCTCATTAAATGACTTTGTGACCCAACTTTGGGTTATGACCTTGGGATTAAGAACATTTGCATTAGAGATATAAAGCCATAGGCTGCTAACTTTCCTTAGAAATGTTCTGTGTTAACAAGGCACTTATGAATAAGAGTTCAACATCTGTAACTTTTTTTTTCTTTTTTTTTTCTTTTTGTGGCCATGGGTTTTTGAAAATAATTTTTTGCCTCTGAGTTATGATCTTAAATTAATTGACCATTATTGTATGCTTCATTTTAGCTTGCATTTGGAAAATCACAGTATGTTGAGGTAAGAAAATGATGAGTTCCATAAAGCACTCCACCTTTATCACATTTTTACATCCACGTGGTGAAAGTGTGTGAAAACCTTTTCCTTTTATCCCAGGAATTGTTTTGAAGAGAATGTCTGATTTCTTGCACTCACAGTTTTCCAAGTTTGTAAAGCATAGATGCATGGATTTGTGTTATTGGTATATTAATAAACCTATTTTTTTGTTCTTTTTTTCAGTTTAATGATTTTGGTTAAACTTTTATTTCGGTGTATGATTATAGATTTTCTTTGAAATATATTTCTTCTTTAGATGGGGGAAACAGCAGCCTACAAGCCACATGTTGTCTTCATATTGAAAAAGACATAAATGTCCAACCATTTTATAAAAGACATAAATCTAATATAAATGTAACCGACAGATCCGAGGGGCACAATTACAGTCACAGTACCCTAAAGAAGTCAAGATTGTTGAAGTTGGCCCACGAGATGGACTGCAAAACGAAAAGGCCCTCGTGCCAACAGATGTAAAGATTGAATTTATTAATATGCTGTCTCGAGCTGGACATAAGGCTGTGGAGGTGACCAGGTACAGTATACATATGACAATCTATCTTGTTCAATTGTCTGTATGTGTGTGTGTGCGTGTATGTGTGGTTGTGTGATTGTGTGGGTGCATGTAAATATATGTGTGTGTGCATGTGTGTGTGCATGTGTGTGTGCATGTGTGTGTGCAAGCATGTATGTGTTGTGTTGTGTGCATGTGTGTGCGCATGTGTGTGCGCATGTGTGTGCGCATGTGTGGCGCATGTGTGTGTGCGCATGTGTGTGTGCGCATGTGTGTGTGCGCATGTTGTGGTGCGCATGTGTGTGTGCGCATGTGTGTGTGCATGTAGAGAGAGAGGAGAGAGAGAGAGAGAGAGAGAGAGAGAGAGAGAGAGAGAGAGAGAGAGAGAGAGGAGAGAGAGAGAGAGAGAAGAGAGAGTGTGCATGTGTGTGTGCATGTGTGTGTGCATGTGTGTGTGCGTGTGAGAGAGAGAGAGAGAGAGAGAGAGAGAGAGAGAGAGAGAGAGAGGAGAGAGAAGAAGAGAGAGAGAGGAAGAGAGACGGGAGGAGAAGAGAAAGAAGGAGAAAGGAGAGAGAGAGAGAGACTGTGTGCATGCTTGTGCGTGCATGTGTGTATGTGTGTAGAAGTGTATTGAAGGTATATTCATGTTATTATCATCATCACAAATATTTTATCCTTTTTGGAATTCATATTCATTTTTCTTTTTTTCAGTTTCGTATCTCCAAAATGGGTCCCACAAATGGCAGATCACAGTGAAGTGTTAACTGGAATTAAACGTTTTAGTGGTGTCTCCTATCCTGTATTGACACCCAATCTGAAAGGATTTCAGGCTGCAGTAAGTACAGATAAAAGACTGAAATGTATGGGGCCAAGAGATCAGTGAAAATTAAATGGTTTCTGAAGGATCCTTGTTATTGACTTACGTTATTTTCTTTAAGCCAATGCCACCTGGAACAGGTAACATTCACTGAAGTTGTTTGGTGATATGCCTTTGCACTAAAGGGTCAAATAGTAGACGTACATAACCTCACCGGATTTTTTCTTTCCCTGAATTTTCAGGATCGTTTTTATTTTGAAGCTTTTAATATTGATGCTGTTGTTATCATTTTTGACATTATAATTTTCATAATGTTATTAGAGATGATAATAGGAATAATAAAAAAAAAAAATCTGAAAATCAAGATAAAGGTTGAGATAGTAAGGACTTGTAATTGATTCCTTGGTGAAGAAGCACTGTAGAGCATCAAAGTGTGAAGGCAAAAAGCTAAACTCACAGTGGGCATGGCATGTACATGCATATCATCTTCATTGGTAGTGGGTTTTATGTATTAATTTTTTGATGTGCACAGATATTCAATTACTGATTGCTAAGGCTTCAAAAAAAAAAAAAAGAGAATTGATTGATTGGTAAATAAGTGAGTAGTAAATAATTTTTTTTTTTTTTTTTTTTTTTTTTTTTTTTTTTTTTTTTTTGCTGAATCCATTTATGACGGGTGAAAAATAAACATTGTCGGGTGTCCTGCCTGTGTGACTCTGGATCAGAGCTTGCGCTCCAATTCCGTCATGAGCCGTGGCCAGTGCATAGGCAAAGTCTGGGCCAACCCTAGGCACCGATTATGAAGCCGCCTGTAAACCATTATTTTCTGCTTCAAAATATACCGTTGCTAGTGGGTTAACAGAACAAAAGGGATCTCTTCACAGGTGGCATTCACTCAGTTGCATTTTTTTGGGGCTTATTCAAGGCCCATCTCAAGCCTAAGTCTGCTTCACCCACCTGGTAATATTTTCACAAAAATGAAAGAATATATAGATATGTTAGTTATTTCAATGGAACATCATAGTTAACAAAATCTGTAAATATGTCCCTGGAAAAGTGCTCTAAACAGATGCAGGAGTTACAGTATCCTTTTTTTCTATTCTTTTCTTTTCGAATTGATATATTTTGAATCGATATTCTTTTATAGTTTTTTGCTCATGTGAGGTAAATTTGTATAAAGATATTCATTCATATACTCATATATTAATCATTAATAAAAACAATAACTTTACAGGTAGCAGCTGGTTGTGAGGAAGTGGCGATCTTTGGAGCTGCCTCGGAGACATTTAGCAAAAAGAATATAAACTGCAGCATTGCTGAATCCTTACAAAGATTTCAAGCTGTTATGGATGCTGCAAGGGAGTCTGGGATTCGTGTAAGGGGTTATGTCTCCTGTGTGTGTGGGTGTCCCTATGAAGGCCCAGTTGATCCCAAGGCAGTAGCAAAAGTATGTATGATTTTTTATTATATATTTATTATATGAGTCTTTCCTTATCTATTTATTTTTATCTGTTTTTATCTATTTATCTTTTTTTTCAATATTGCTAGTTAGGCAGAAGATTGAGGACATTTTTTTAACCATTTTATTTTTATTTTATTGATAATAGCAAAATTTTGGCTCTTGTTACAAGATTCACCGATGTTGTTATAAGGGGCCTGTCCCAGAAAATTACCACCTTTCCCTACATATTATATCATAAAAAAATATCGGTTAGAGATAACTGATTGATTCTTTTTGCATGATATAGCGTATAGAATTGCGCTTCGTTTCATATATAATTTTAACCTCGCTCCCCCAAAGGAGGGGGGTACCCCCCAAAAAGTCTTAAATTTTATTTTTTTTTCTTCTTCTTTGGTACATCCTAACTACCACAGTTCTTTACTGAATAGTCCCCCCAAAATACTTGTGTTGGATCAACCCTAGCCTAAGGCATATGAACTTAGTACATGGAAGTCGTTGAATTTTTCCCATGCTTCACACGGGGGGGGGGCGGTTGAGATGGTCACTGGGTGTTTAAAATTTTCGAGGAGGATCATATCTATATGAACGCATGCACAAAAAGTTAAAAAGATTAATCATCCTCATTTAGTAGGCCTACATCGACTTTCATATCTAATTAATGAAATATATTAGTTACCCCTCTCAAACCGTTTTCTTTGATAATTGTCAATATTAACAGATTGCAAAGGAGAACAAGTGTAGAGTTGGTGATTAGCCATTTGCACCCATTATCTTTATTAAGTAGTGCATAAAATCATGCAGACGCCTAGGTGTTGTGGGATATTTGCGAATTTATGGTACCCAAAACCTATGGTAACGTCTAAACATATTATTTTTTATTGGGAACGCACAAACAAATGCGATAGCTTTTTGAACTCTAGACGAAGAGTGCGCACACAAACGAGCTCAAAATTCCATATAGTTTTGATTTCAGAGCGGGGTTTACTGAGTACTATCATCTTCAATATGAAATTATCTGTATCTCGCTTATACATTCGAAGTTCAAAAATCCGACGTTTAGGTAACACTCGATTGAATTTGTCTTTCCAACGGTAACTACCAATTTCAAATCTAATAAAATTTACCCTCCTGTGATGTACCGACCGTTGAGCGATTGAAATATTTCAATCCTTACTTATAAGGCTATTTTCACACATTAGTGCTTCGTATGTGATATACATACAGATTTACCTCGTAAACTAAAACATATTACCAGGGAGTCTCGATCAAAGCATATTTCGTGTGGAAAAGGACACAAAACATATTTTAGATATATATTTCACAAAATATTTCATCATAAATCACGGTGATATGATTTTTTCCTGATATAGGTATAAAAGTATTCCTTAAACATATACGAACTCATATCTATGCGCATTGTCATAATCAAATGCCGTATGCACGATTGCAGCAAGCAGAATTCCACATAGGTGTACTTGGGCGCTCATAAGCGACGTACCTCCCCAGGGTGTTCAGTGGGTTTGTCACCTGCAAGA